TTTTGTGTTTTGTTTTGTTTTGTTTTTTTCCTGGCTACTTTCCCTCTAGCAGTCCTCTAGGTATTGGAGTATTCACAGCTATTTTGGACTTCCTTCTGTTTTTTATCTACCTAACTCTCCTGCATCATCTAACACCATTATCCCTCTCACTTGCTGTGTTCCAGTCATACTGACCACCTCATCATTCCCAAGTATGAAAAGCTCTTTCCTTTCTAGGGCCTTTTGCACATGCTTTTCTGTGCCAGGAATGCATTAACTGGTCCTCTACTCACATGGCTACCTCCTTTTTATCCTTCAAGTATCACTTAATTGTAACTCCTCAGAAAAACCTTCCCAGACCATTATTTTAGAAGTAGCTGAGAATTCTGCTTTTCCCTCTTGGTTATTCCCTGTTACATTGTTCTGTTACATTGTTCTGTTTATTTCCTTCACAAGCTGTAATTATTTTGTTTATTTGCTTATGTATTGTCTTTGTTGTCATTAGGTGCTATCGAGTTGATTTTCAACTGATAGCATGTACCTCCCATTAAATAGTAAGCTCCGTGAAGGCAGAGACCATATTGCTTTTGTTCACCATTTTATCCTTGACACTGCTGTTGAATGGAATTTAGCTATGAAAGGAAATAGAAGTATACAGCAAAGCTAAAGGAGGACATGGATCAAGGGAGTGTGGAATAGGTGGGAAGAAAGGAGATGTGTGTATTACAAATGGAAAAGATGAATATATTTATATGCTGTTGGCAGTAACCAAATAGAATGGAAGAGCATGAAGTTACATGATAGAAGATGATTAATGGAGCATTGTCATTTTGTAGGTTGACAGTAATAGAATTTAGAGCATCAGTCTTGGATAGAAGGAGGGATAATCTTTACTTTGAGTGAAGTTCAGAAGATATATTAATGATAGGTGCAGATGCAGATTCATTATGGGTAGGAACAAGAAATTAAGACAGTGGATGCCTAATGTCTTTTAATTTCTTGGTACTTATAAGAAATCATGTTATCTTCTGAGGAAGAAAGGGACAGGAGTTAATCAAAACTAGAACAGAATTGTGAACCTTTGATAAAGTGGCTGAGGAAAAATGGAGGGAGGAGCTGACCGAGCATATATAATTGAATTGCTGTGTGGTGTTAAAGGATCTTCTGAGATGGGATATGAAGAATTATGATTCTGTTTATTCATTCATTCTTTCATCATACATTTATTTACTACCATTTTTAGACAATTCTTTGTGGGTTGCTTGCATTTCTGCACATCTTTGAGTGAGGCATCAACTGCCGTTTGTTATGGACTATCTTTTCAAGTATGCTTGCATAGCCAACAGCCTTGGAAGATAGAGATATAGTGTCACCCTACAGAGCCAAGAGTAGGTTTGCCTTGGAAGATACAGTGTCTCCCTACAGAGCAGGGGCAGGCATGCCTACTGCCCATTATATAAAAGATTCCTTAAACTCAGAGTTCCCCACCTATAACATAACCCAGTATGTGTTTAGGCATTCACCCGGGTGATCCACATCCTGATGGAACTTGGGGGCAAGGGACTCCGATATCAATATACTGATGCTCATTCTCATTGCTATGCTGTGAATAATAAAGTCCTTTGTCTCTGACTCAGGAGCCTCGTGTCTTCTGCCACCATCCATGAAACTGTGGCAGGCTAACTTGTTAGCTTGAAGGAACCCTTCATAGTTCTTGACAAGAATGTGCTAGATGCCAGGCTGTGATACCAGTCAATATTGATGGTTAGCTAGAAGAAATCTAGCACTGTCTTGTGGTAAGTGGGACATGAGAAGAGAAACAGCCTCCACTTGAGAACACTGCAGTGATTGCTGTAGGTATCTTCAGGCAAGAGCCAGCTTTCAGTTAAGACAAAGACCCCCTCTATTGCTTTGGTGTCCTGTTTCTTTTGCCACACATTTCTTCTCCCTTCATTCTTTTTTTTTAAATCACCCTAATCTTATCAAGTTAATCTCTTTGTCAGAACTCTTCAAACTTAACTCATCACCAGTATCTGCCACATCATTTGTAAATAGGGACAGTTTGTCTCTTCAATTCATATACCTATTATTTCTTTTCTTCTGTATTATTGCTTTCCCTGGGACCTCCAGTGCTGTATTGAATTATGTAATAGAGGTATCCTTGTCTTAATAATAATTTAACATTTCTCCTTTCTGTATGATGATTGCTGTAGGTGTTTAATTGCCAACCTTTATAAAGTTAAGGGCTGTATAATATATTACATTCAGCTCTAAAGATTTTGTAGTTTTAGATTTCCTCTTAAAGCGTTATTTAGTTTTGTGGTTTTTTTTTTTTTTTACTTCCACATATAGAGAACTTGTTTTTATTTTTTAGAGGTTTCTGTTACTGATAACTGATTTTACTGCAGTATGACTATAGAATATAGTCTGCATGATGTTGATTCCTTGGAATTTATTGAGATTCACTTTGTAGCCTATCAAAGAACATCTGTTCTCTATTTGTTAAGTATAATTTCTGTCAGTGTAACAGATCAAATTACCTTTAATCATGTTATTTAAATCTTATATTTGGTCTATATTTCGCTGCTTTTTCAGTTTCTGAGAAGACTGTTAAAATCTCCAATTACAGTTGTAGTTTTATCACTTTTCCTGTAGTTCGTAGTTCTGTCAAATTGTTGCTTTAGATTATTTTGAAGACTTATTGTTAGGGCATATGTGTTCATGAATGCCATCCCAATTTGATATTTTGCATATATCAACTTTCTTTGTCCCTTCTTAAGTTTTTCTCTTTAGAGTCTATTTTTTCAGTTCTGATAGTCAAATGACTATGCCAGATATCTTTTGGTTCGTATTTTCCCAATATGTCTTTTCTCCATTCCTCGATTCTTACCCTTTCTGAATTTTTTTGTTTTAAATGTAACTCTTGTAGTTAACATATTGTTATCTTGCTTTTTGACCTAGTCTGAGAATCTCTGTATCTTGGGTGATTAAGCCCATTACATTTAATTACCTCTGTAATAGTATTCATTTTTGCCGTCTTATTTTGTTTCATAATTACCTTGCTTCTGTGTTTCTTTTTTCTCCTTTTCTCCTTCCATTAGGTTGATTGAATTTTCTTCTGCTGCTGAGACACAGTAAGCTTTACTAAGTTCTTTACTCATCCTTACTTCTCTTATGTTTCTTCTTCTTCCTGGATTCATTTTTCCTTAGCTGGAGAATACCCTGTATGTAGTCTTATGGAAGAAGTCTTTTTATGGTAAATTTTCTGAAACCATAAATCACTGAGAATATCTTTTATTTGCCCTTTAATTTAAATGGTTGAGTTCTAGGATCAAAATCATTTTGTTTCCGCACACTTAGATAGGTCATTATTTTGTTGCTCTAGAGAAGTCTGATAAACCTGATTACTGTTTCTTTGTGGTTATCTGTTTCTCTGGAAACATTGGTAACAGCAGTTAATAGTTCACGCAAACTTTTTAAAAGGACCTGAGATGTAAGGTGTCTGCCAATTTTTTTTTTTTTGGTTGTTTAATCCACCCTATTGAACACTATTAACTTTTTCAATTTTTTTTTTAATTCTGGAAATTTCTCAATCACTATATTTTCAAATATTTCCTTTTCTTATTTATTGATTTATTCTTTTCTTAATGGGAATCTTTTTAGTGAATATTAACAGGTCTACTTTTATCATCCATTTCATTACCATCTCTCATTCTTTCCACCTCTTTATCTTTTCCTGAAGCAATCTAGGAAAATTCTTCTACCTAGTTTATTCTTCAGTGGTATGTGTTATGCTGGTCAACTTTCCTTTTGGGGTCATTATTTCAACAATTATATTTTTACACACTAAATCTCTAGTTCTTTTTATAATTGCTTGTTTCTGCTTTGTGTTTGGCAAATTCTCTTATTTTTCTTAGAATATTTACTATGCTTATTGTAATTCTTGTTTTGTCTGCTCCATTATTTGTGCTTTCTCGTGCATGGTTATACGATTGTTGTCTTTAGTTCAAGATATATGCACTTCTCAGATCTCTCTTAATTTTTATTTGTGAGTTCATCTATTTGTCTGTTGAGCTATCAGTTGCTTTGGTAAGTATTGTCTTTGTGTTGGGGGCAAAGGTTAATTCTAACTTCTGTTTTAACCGTTGAGCCATCTTTTATAATTACCCTGGAAGAGGGGAGGAGAGAGTATCTAGGGGTCATTCACCCCATCTGTACTCCTGATTATTGGTGCTCCAGTCTCTGGAACTTCAGAGCTGCCTTCAGTTTATCTTTCACTTTTGCTTTTTTGCTAAGGAAGGGCAGCATGAGGCAGTGGAAGGGCACTGATAAAAGACTCTCTTTTACCCTATCCTTGTCTTTTCTACTCCAGGCTGCCATTTGCCTCACACTGAAGTCTTGGCAGACTCTGTCCCCCAAGGGGTCTTCAGAGATTTTGTGTTAATTTCCAAGTACTGCTCTGAGAGCCATCGGCCTTCCCATCTCTTCGGGCATCTTCAGGGTTGCTTTGGACAGGCAAGCCAGCAACCTGTGCTAGTTTGTCAGCTTTTCAAGAACCAAAAGTGCATTCATTTTGGAAGCTTCAGTCAAAGCAAAGTATAAAACTCTAATTTTACTTAATATATTAGCAGTAATTATGTTTCATAAGAAGTAAAAGTGAACTAAGGAAGAATACATACAAGGAGACATTATATAGAAAATCTCAGGAGGATTTCCTTATCTCTTGAATGTGAACAAAAAAGCATGAGAGAATTTAAACTTTTGTTTTATTTTATAGAGTAAATAGAATCTATTAAAAGTCTGTCCACTTAACATGTATTTCAAGCTTTCAAAAATTTTCTTTTCGATCCATTTTCTTTGTTTTGTGGAAAATTTGAAATGTAGGACTTACACCAAATGTAAAATAATGCACACTAAAGAAAACATTATCTCATTATATCAAACTAAAGATTATCTATTTTAAGAAATTATTTTGACCTCTGATTCCAGTATATTTAGGTGTTCTGTTTATGTTTCAAAAGGTTCAAAATACTACCTGAAGTTCTGTATCGTATCCCCACACTTGAAACAGTTCTGATTAGTAACAATCAAGTTGGATCTGTGGACCCTCAGAAGATGAAGATGATGGAAAATCTGACTACATTGGACCTTCAAAATAATGACCTCCTACACATCCCACCAGAGCTCGGTAATTGCGTGAATTTAAGGTAACTATGCCTTCTGACTTTTTCCATTTATTTGATTTGTTGAAAGTGTTTTTTTTTTTTTAATTTATTTGTTTCTTATTGAGGTAATCTTGCATATTAAAAATAATAGGTAACAGAACCCAAAATCCCAATTCTGATTTTCAGGTTTTACCAAATATATTTTTTAGCTTTGTTCATATATGTGTAAATATAGTAACTGGTTGTTTCTAGCAGTACTTTTCTCATCACTGTGTATATTTATAACATGAAACTCTACCATATAAAAACGTCAGGGAAATACAAACTCCTTAGCTTTGCATACAGAGTTTTTCAAAATATGATTACAGACTAGCACCATTCCATTTCAAGCACAGCATGATCTTTCTCATGCTTTGAGTTTGCTGTTCCCTCAACTCTGCTTTCATCAATAGTGTACCTAAATATCACCTTTGAAAACTTTCCTTATTCTCCAGGCAGAGTTAGTCTCTCTTCTGATTTCCCACCATTCTTTGTTTATCTTCCTTTAGAAAAGGGTATCCCAGTGCCTGGAACATAGTAAGCACCCAGTAACTGCCTGTTAAAGAATATAAATTGTTTGGCATTTCCTACTTTATGGGGACAGCACTGGCATCTGCTCTGGTACCTATAGTAGGGAATTATAGGAAGCAAGTAAACAACCCCTTTTTCTAGAAATTAAGAAAATCAGTCTTTAAAAGAATTCCCAAGGCACATAGAAAGCTGTGAAGATATAATTTAGATGTAGTGTATAATATAGTGTGAGTCCTTTGACTTTTGTTTAGATAAACACTTAGGCTATTAAAAATTAATGTAGAAGTCTTTTATAACTAAATATGTTTTATTAATTATATGAAGAAACAAATTAACAAGCTGTTAAATATTAAGTCGAACCTCATTTTAGAACATGTAAATACATTTATACATGTATATCTGGTCCAGTGAGGAGGAGAGCAGAAGTGTGTTAGTATTTTTGGGGCCGGCGGGGATACATTAATTACATTATGACCCTAGCACTGGTAATTGTCAGTTTGCTCATTTTAATACTTGGGTAAACCTAATTGGTCATTTAGTATGTGGTCTTTATAAAACTGAGAAAACACTGGGTATAAAGGTGATTCAAACCACAGATCCACTGTTTAGTAGCGGTGTGATCCAAGAAAGTTTTCTTACCTTCTTAAGTCTGTATTTCCTCATCTATAAAACAAGTATATTAATGGTACCTACATCATACTGTTGTTAAGAGAATTAAGAGACAATAAATGTAAATTACTTAGCATCATACCTTTCACATAATAAGTATTCAGTTAATGTTTTGGTTATTATTGTAGTGGTGATCCCAACTGTTTTAAATGCTCAGATTTGAAAAAGAACAAATAGAAAAAAAATAAAATTTTTATTTTTAATATTGCAAATGAAATTAGAAGAAAAGCCTCTCTAGTGGAAAATGTTTAAATTCTTTAATTTCTCTCTTTTGCTTAGAACATTACTCCTAGATGGAAATCCATTCCGCGTTCCTCGAGCAGCCATATTAATGAAAGGAACAGCTGCTATCCTGGAATATTTGAGAGACCGAATTCCTACTTAAATTGGAGTTGCCTTATAATCCTGGCCAAGTTAACTGTTAGGAGGATTTAACATTTTCTTTTAGTATCATCCTAATACTGATTGCTATAATTGATCTTATAGTTTTCCAATATCACCTAGCCATTGGTATAATTGGCCCGGGCCATATTCCTGCCAGGAACTATTTTTACACTGACAACTATTTAACATTTTTTCTAAGGTATTGTGTACATTTATAATGGTGATGACCACATATACTATCCATACATTTATTCTGAATGTTTTGAAAAGCATTTACCTTACCCACTTTTCATTCCCTTATAACATAGCAAGCAATTTCTTCAAAAATGAATTTTTATTTAACATGAATATTTTTATAATGACAAAGCATTTTTGTAGAAGTGTTTTTTTTTTAAATTTCTACTTGTATTACATATAATATGACCAATTGACTTGACTATGACTACCCAATTTCTATCTTTTTATTAGATATAAAATTAAATTGAATTTTACTGAGTTCTGTCCTTTGGCGTTAAAAAAAGTAAGACTTTTTGTTACCCATGATAGAACTTTTGTGATGTAGTTGGTTTTGGTACAAGTTTTTAGTCAACATTCACTGTTTCGTTTTAATCTAGTTAAACTGATTCTTTTCTAGCTATAGGTCTTTTCCCCCTATTTTTTGAGATCATTTTATCACGGTTGCTAATCTCACAGAAAAGTCATACAAGATAAAGTTAATTGAGGGAGAAAATAGTGAAAATACAGTTATAATTGCTCTCACAATTTTGAATTTAAAACTTGACAAGTTTTATGATATCTTAGGTATTAAGTTTCCATATGATAATCTATTACTTTTAGATTCAAGAGCATTAAGGAGATTGGATCTGTATATTTTTCCCTCAGCTAGAGAGCAAGCATTTTGAAATACCTTTTGTTCCTTAAAAAAATATGTATTGAATACTTTATCTTACTAATTATTTAGATAACAGAAACTGATAATAATAAGCATATACTGCATAGAAATCTTGAAGTGTACTGTGTTTAAAACACCTGTTAAGCAGGTATTTGTATACCTAATCTACTCTGTGTGTTTTAATCCAACCTTTGTGCATCTTTTTATTTCTAGTACGTTAATTTAAAACTTATTGCAATCTTGATAAGACCAAACTTGTAGTCATGTAGTAATTTTCTAAAAGGGAAGTTGATACAGATAAACTTGATTTAATGAAATTCCAATATAAAATTTTTTGTTTACACCAAAAATATCAGAAGTAGGCTGATCAGTCATTATTAAACTTATCATTAGATTCTATTAAGTAGTCAATTCAGTAGTGTATAGCTAGATAGATAGCTTTTGGATGTTTGAGGCATGTTTATGTTATGAAAAACTCAGTGCTAATAAAGATAAATACTACATGGTCATAATTATTTTCAAATATTTGATTACAGTGTTTGTTTTTGATTAAAAGAAACATTCCCTTTTCATACCACAGCTCTATGATGGATTAAGAAGTCTGCTTTGATATTAAACAAAAGACACTTTACAATAAGGTGACATTTTATTATTTATACAATAAAGAGACTTTAATGTTATTCAAAACACTTTTTTTTAAATACTGAAAAAGTTGAGTACACCAAAGCCGAAAAATGGCTCTGCTATACACTGCACAGCATTATTTTAGTCCCTGTATTTTGTATCTGTACAGAAAGCATCTTCAAAATGCATTCTAATCACATTGTACACCTTTACCAATTAGTGTCAATACATAAAATAAAACTGGAAGAATACAGCTTGCATTTGCAAATTAACTGACAAAGTAACTAGTTCCACTGATTTGGTAAATTTAAAATATAGATTCATAGGACTTCTTTGCACATAAAATGAAGCAGCTTTCAAGGTCGTTATGGTGTCATACTGCAAAAAAAAAACCATTAAGTACATTCACAACCTATGTTAATAAAGTAGTAAATATGTCTTCATTCAGTTTTATTTACATCAATATATAGTTCAACTAAAAAGTACTATTAATTGTGATACAGTAGTCTTTTAACACATACAAAAATGACAGTTTTTATATATAATTTAAGCTTAAAATCACAATTATCTCAAAATATTAATTACAATACAGCCATTTCAATTAAACATGTCATGATTTAATTTTTCTTATAAAATGGTAAAATTTTTTATTAAAGTAAGCAATTTGTTTTGAATTGGCTAGAGTACACCCAAGTAGAAAACCTTAAATGTTAAGAGGTGTTTCCTGCCTCCTCCCACTCAAATTTCTATATAGCCACCTAGGCTAGCAAAGAGACAGAAAAGGCCCCAATTTATAAAGATTAAGTCTCTTTTGCTATACTGCTGTGGCTTGTTGGTTCTTCCATAAAAGCTTTACACAGGGAGTGTCAACTATGCAGTGAAATGCATGCATTAATATACAGTATGTCTATGTAAAATGTTAGTGTTTACTAATGCACATTAAAAATCCACAAAAACTGCAAAAGAAGTCATTAATAAAGAAGCACTTTGTTAATCAAAAAGATCTATCAATCGCATATTGTAAACTCGAAAACTACTTGATAATATAATGGACTTTCTTTGCGATGAGATCCCAATTCAAGTTCTTTCTCTAGCTGAAGGAGCTCTGGTTACGGGGCCTTAAGATGTCACTGTTGTGCTGCACATATGGTAGTGAAGTCAGATGTTAAAAAGGATAGGAGTCCATAGAGACTGTCTTCAGTTTTCTGAAATAATGGCCTTAAGTTGCATTACTGCTTAGAAATTTTACTTAAACTTACAAGAGAGTGAAATATTTCACTGAATGAATTATATGACCTCAAATGGGAAATTGTGTGTTTAGCATATGGGAAAAATTTTACATAGGTGGACTTCTTTATATAGTAATAAAAGGATCATGTCAAAAAATAACTGAGGTCAAAAGTAATCAATTATCAAATACTTTAGGATGAAAGAATAATTTTCATGGGTACTTTTAAAAAAATAAACACACAAACCTAATATCTAGTATCCTTTTACTTATAATTCTTAACAGATCAATTAAAAACCTATCACATTCTCAGTTTAGAATTTCTGCTGTTAGTTTAATATATCTTATCTGAATAGAAAGAAGCTACAATTCATCTTATGGTTTACTTATATACATCTGGGTGGGGGCTGTATAAAGGGAGAAAAATGAAATTACAGTACTTACAAACCTTACTCTTGCAAGGTTATTTGTGGTGGTCTTTCAAATTTACAAACAGAATTCGGTGGCTTTACTTCTGATTTTCAACTAAACGGGAAAAATTCTCCCTCATATGAAGACAATGTCATAGTCCTTAAGCTACCTTTTAGGCCCTTATGTACACCAAGGAAAAAGAAACTTGATTGGCTCTTCAGACAAAAAAAAAATACCTGCTTTATCTGTCTGTCACTTATATTTTTCTTCATTCCAAACTGAAAATAGTAAGGCTTGCATTTTTGAGGAGGAAAATATAGTTGAGGATATTAAAGGGAAATGCCTAAATGTCATAAAGCGTAAGAATTTAAACATTTATTGCATTCCACTGACACTAGGTGTCATCAAAGCTAAAACAAAATTTCCTAGAATAAAACAATATACAACATTCTTTACAGACCTGAACAGATGCCTTTTCCACATTCAAGGCCAGTAAGAGTCCTCTGAGTGGAAAGACTCTCCAAGTATTGAAAATAAAATTTATTTCAGCAATGCATTCTGAAAATAAATTTCCTTTTTAGCAAACATGGGAGCTGCTTTATGCTCTGTCTGCCTGAGCGTTTCATCTTGATTTTTCTATGGACTTTCTAAAAAAATTACATCAAATTTCCTAAGTAAGAGATTTTTTTATTTTTAGTAGAGGACTGGGGAAGGGGAAGAGGGTCAGAGAGATTCAGAGAAGTAGCATGTGATTTCTTTTGTCCATTTGTCAAATGCTTTCCTTAATCTAGCTATCATAAAGGTCAGTTGACCTGCACACCTGGGCATTGTTTAACTTCATTAACTGTGCAAAACAAATGTGCAAAGAAAAACACCTATATATGTTATGTCTATATATAGACACAAAACCTGAGTTATAATAAAAGTTTTTAATATACGAAAACTTTTCTTAATGTAGGAAAATAACCTTTGAAGGGTCAAAAATACCTTTGTACAATATACGCAGCTAACTTTAAAACTTAAGTGTGCTTAAAGTATCACATATTTTATGAGACCCAGCAAAAAAGGGACATTTACATTTGATAATTTAACAATAGCTGAAATAACCAGATTTTTATTTCTAGCATCTATTTTCGTTCCCCTGAATTCATTAACTTTTCTAAAACAAAATAAAAGAAGCACATTCAAATATGAGTCTGGTTTTACTTCTGATGAACAGTTCCTGTTTTTTTCTAAATATTGAGGACATAGGAGATTTGGGGTTGCTAGGCATATAACTTAGTGCCAGGCTATAATGGAATTTTAAAAATCAAACAAAAAGAATATATAATCTATTATTAAGAGAAATACTACTTAAAAAAATACTTGGTAGACAGTCTTGCGTCAAGTCTGCATGGAGTTAGTCTTTCATCTGCAGGCTCCCTTTCTGCAGAATATTAACTATTGAAAACTCCTTTCTCCACACTTCATTTCCTTAGTTCATGGCAGGTTTCTTAACGTTTTTGTACTTGAATTGTCCCAAATGAAGCTCCCTTGCTTACATTCAGCCACTAGTTATGATGTCCTCTTTACATCTTTCCCATCGCTTCTTTTTCTTCAGGAGCTCAGTTGTCTGGGATGACTCCTTGATCCCCCTCATATGCCCCATAACTACTCATTAGGAGAAAATATGCTTAAATGTTTCTACTGTCTTATCATTAGACACTGATTTAAGGCTGAATCCAGGACACACTTATTCCCTGGGCCATATCTCAGATGCATACTGAGGAAATTTTATAGAAAAAGAGTGCAAGTTGCTTCTCCATGCTGCTCAGGTTGGCTCTTGTAATTAATTATGCATTTATTGCAGTAAAGTCTTTGCTGCTTAGAAAGAAGGGAAAACCATCTGAACCAGAAGGTTCAGTCCTTGCATCTGCAGTTGGGTTGGAGGGTGCCTTGAATACTTGTATCAGTGGTGGAAGGGAGTCTGGTCAGTGTCTTTGAATGCTGTCTTTCCTCACTGGGGTCATGAGTCTGGTTTGAGGATAGGGTGGAAAATGCATGCAGTAGGTTTAGGGGTTAGAGTCATTAGCTAAGGGAACTGCAATCTCTTCCTGCCTTTTTATATGACACTTGCCTGAGGATCACTAGAAGGATTTTGTATTGTGCAGAAGGCTAAAAGAGTCACACTTTATCTGCCAACAGACTTGTTGTCATGGGAACCAATGCAGGAAAAAACGAAAATATGACGAAGAGCTGAGGATTAAATGTGGAGAAAATTGATAAGGAGTTGGTTTCTACATGGCAATTTGAGCATTTGGGATTTAAAAAAAAAAACAAAAAACAGAATATTCCTCATGTAGCCAAATCAATGAAAATGGACAAAATGACTTGCTGGCAGCTGATGTGGGCAATGCAGGTAGAAAGTAGTGTGCATGCTGTAGTTTAGATATGTGGAATTCTGGAAAATTCAGCCCTATCCCTGGTAAGACTGAACTCTTCAGCCCAGATGTTAAATTAACCATATGGGCAAAGGTGCCCTTTGGAAAGCTATGTCCATGCTTAGCTTGAGAAATAATAGCAGCCTGCTGTAACTACTCTCACCCCTCTGAAGGTGGCAGACACCACCTGACAAGATTATTGCACACCTAGTATATTATTGCTTGCAGCATCTTTCTGATAATTCCAAATTTAAAAAAAAAAAAAAAAAACCCACATCCTGCATATCTGCATCCCCGCCCCCACCAAAAGGCAGCGATTGCAAGTAACTCAGTAGGAAATAATTACTTCATCACACCTGATACAAGTCCTCCCTGTATACTCTCCTCTGTCATTTTGGAGTTGATAATAAATTGATGAAACCAGACTGTGGGATGCCAGGAAAATCCTTCACAAGCACTTGGAGTTTCAGCCTAATCTGAGATAGGTAAATTTACACATTTATTTTCAGATGCTCCGGGGAGACTGCACCCACCTTATCCACCAAGCTTCCCAAAAGGCTATTTCCTGAAATCCTATAATTAATGTCTAATTCCTATGACTTTTGGCAAATACGTAAAATGCAATTGCCCTGAGGAGAGAGGGGAAGGTTGCAGTATAGCTGACTATTACATTTGACCATTCCTGGAGAGCTTTTTTTCAAATAGTAGTAACATTCTTCACCTGCCATCCTTCCCCCGCCCTCCAAAT